CCTACACATCAAATCAGATTTAATCAGTAGACACGCACCTAGCTGATCAAGGTGTGCTAATTCTGCACACCTACAAATGTAAAACCCAAATGATGTTCATATCCTAACAATACTCAGATCCAGAAGTATTAGAGTACCTGAAATTAGAGGAAAATGATAAGTACAAATCTGGGATCATAATTTTGACTGTTAGGTCTGGTTTATGTGCTCAGGTATGATTTGTTTAGACTTAGTGTTATTTCCCAGGCATTTCTGAACTCTCATTAAGGCTCTGCCATACCCTTTCACCAGATGAGGACAAGCGCACAACATCTTTAATTCAGTTTCTATATTTGCAAAATGAAGATGATATATCTCTAGGGTTAAAAGACTTCACAAGATGCTTTCAAGAGTACAATCTTCTTCTACTCTCATCTTCATCATGAAGGAATCTCAAGTTAGACTGAGACTGACCCATGCAAGCCATAATTAAGCCTACATTGATTTCTTTCAATGTGCCACTGAAAACTGCAAAATAAGAGCACAGTCGTTTACATCTTATTTCTTTTGCTTTTACAACTGAAATATTTATCCAGGTCAACACCTTCTCTTATCCAATCTTTAATACACTGAGAACTTGGAAAAAGGATTACTGATGTGGCTCAAGCCTATCCATGAAAGTAAGTTAAGCTGTTATACTAGCTTCAGGTTTCGCCTTCTTCCCTGAGAAACAGTAATTCTGCACTTTTCCATGCTGTCCCACCTCACCATACACTATAAAGTGAGATAATAGGAATGTGGGAAGGAAAAGGTCAATTGAAAGCCTGCTCTTGTGTCCCAGTTGTGAGGCCCTTTTAGCAAAGAATGTATTTCAGTAAAGTATCTACTTCACATACTAACTTCACAAATTCCATTCCCTTGGAGCCTACCGGGCACATAAGAATAGAGTTGGGACAGGGATTTTATGGAATGGTCCTGACAGATGGAGTAAACCAGACATTCCCAGACCAGCCAGAGCATGCCACAGAGAGAAAGTACTTTCATTTCAAGAAGTGTGTTGAAAAACACAATGTAAAAAGTACCTCCATGCACAGGAACTCAGACCTGAAAAGGTAAAAGACCTTCTACCAATTGAACAATGGAGTTTTAGAGTTTCAAAGCCAGAAATCAGACTTTTGTGCATGCTTAGACAAAAGAGTCCAGGCCAATTGAAGGTACAAAAGAGTAACAGCTTATTACCATTACTTTTATAAGTTTCACACCAGGTAGAACTGATCTTCTTCACATCAGCTGCTGTCAGACTTTCATTTACTTCATTAAAATATCTTGTTTGGTCAGTTCTACCACTATAATTTATTTTAAACATAGTGAAACCTTAACTAAAGAGGCAACCTGACATTAAGCAGCCGCTTAAAAGCCTTTCCAGATTACCACTCCACTCTTTGTGGTGAGGGTTTGGGCGCAGTAAAGTTTTGAGCCAGATTCCACTTTCCCTTCGTTTCTCAGATCACTTCAATGCAAACTCCAAATTCAGGCAGCACCACCACAGACATGTTACCGTCAGTGAAACCAGCCAAAACATGTCCTCTAGTTTGAGGTGGTCTTTTCAGCTAAGGTTGGGAAATGGCCCAAAATTGTGATCACTGTTCTGGTTTTTAAACCCCACTTCAAAGTCAAAAAGCTGATTTTCCTCTCTTGCTGCTTAAGGCAAATTTAACTGGATACACATATGGCGTAAGTGCCAAACCCATTTAGAGTTGGAGGAACTTGCAAAACATACAGGGGCAGATTCTGTTGTTCTTACTCATTTAAACAGCTCCAGCTAAACTAATGGGACTTCTCAACACAATTAAGAAAAGTAGGATCCAGTCCAAAAAGAATATGCACATTTCATAGTTGAAAAACATACTCTGCCCTGAGTACAGTGGTAATCTGGGGAGGCTTTCAAGTGGCCGTTTAATGGACAGTTATATACATGAAAAAGCAGTAGGACAATCTTATTTCAGGACTTTATTTTAAACAGCAACCACGTGCTAGACTAAATTTCATTATCTATCCAAAATGTTTATTAGTTGGGGGAGCAATCTTCAAGTCAAGATGTTCTGGGGAATCAGACTGTAAGTACTAAACTAATGGAAAATAGCACTCTGTAATATTAGGTTAAAGCAAAATATTCGACTGCAAAACACAGGTAGCATTCGCCAGCTATGCTTTTCACGGGCAGGAATTCCAGAAAGATAAGAGTGCCAGGTTCTTCCAGAGAAGATTTCTGTCACTTCGTCCTTTATATCCATATGCATACATATTTATAAGTAAACCGAGAACTACAGATTAACGATCTCCTTAAAACATCCGGTGAAAACACCATTTGAATCAAGAGCCCGAAGGGGGAAGGAGGAAGGGTTTTTCTTCAGAAGCGA